TGCTCTTCAAACTACCACTTCATGTGTGCCAGGAAGAAGGATTGTAGGTTCTTAAGTAATAAAGAAGTCTATTGCCAGCAGCACTCCTCTCTACCTGTTACCAGTGACACTGTTAAAGATGAGGACATGAGAGTTGACAGGTGTATCATTATACACACTGATAATGACAGACCTGGGAGGAAGTTCACTAAATCATTTCCACCACAAAACATTCAACTGAGAATAGGTACAGCATAATGACTAACATATGAGTGTTCATTAATATGTACACGTACATGTACATGGACACACAGTGAGTATAGAAATATTCTCAGGCTGTTTAGTTATGCCTTTAATACAGTGGTATACATATGTATGTGCTTTTGTATAGGTTTGTACCAATTTAAACATTCACTAGCATTACTTGTACTATACATTAATAATTACTATTCTTCTCTTTCTCTTCCATTGTCCATAGGATCATTATTAATACGTTCCGCTGGGTCCCTCTCTCCTCTCTCTGATACAATATGTCCGTCACTTCTCATCCCTCACAGTTTCTCCTCCTCCTCTCTCTTCTGGAGCCTGACCACGCCCACCCAATGGATCACCTACACTCTCACAGTATCAGCCGATCTTCCTAAGGAAGAGCCCCTCCCTCTAACCACACCTACCCCTGAAACCCCGCCCACTTCTCCAGGTGATTTAAGATGGCCATGTGTCAGCACTCAAGTTAGTAGTGATCCTGATAGTGAGGGGGTGTGGTCAGCAGTGTCCTCTAAAAGTCAAATATTATCAAGTCCGTCTCTAATTAATAATAATGTAACGGATAAGGTAAGGGGAGGAGCTATAAGGGGGAGGAGCTTTTAATTAATTTATTTTATTTTTTATTTCCTTCTCTCCAGTCTAATCCTGAGATTGCTTTGAGGATATTTCGTATTCCAAAGAAGACTCGTTCCTCTTCCTCCTCTCCCCCTCCTACCCTCGCCATTGGACTAACCATCACCGCCCCCTCACCAGTAACCAGTGTCCATTGTCCACAGTCACACAGAGAGGAGGAGACCATTAGACCAGTGTTACCGTTAGACTCACCCGCTCTCAATCAGTGGGAGACGGGGTTACCTCCTCATAGTGTGAACAGTGTCCAGTATGAGCTCAGCAATGAGGAGGGGCAGTCATGGAAGGGCCCTGATCTTAAAGGTAGTGATACTAATAATGATGATGATAATGATAATGATGATGATTATTATTGTTGTTTTTTGTAGAAGTTTTTAGTGTACATTTTACACATTTTTGTATGTACATGTACACATACATGTACATGTAAATGTAAAGTGATGTACATGTGCATGTACATGTATTGTGGGGTTTGGCTCTGTATTAATAATTATTTGAATCCCTCTCCCTCTCTCCCCCTCCCTCTCCCTCTCCCCTAGTATTATGGGAGTCAGTGGTTAGTGAGTTACAAGATGCCAGACACAAACTAGACCTTCCCTTTGTCCCCTTCTTCCCTGATAATGTCTACAGTCAGTTTGGGCTCTCCAATCATCTCGTCCTCCAGCTCCTGGAGCAGTTACCTGATCATGAGAAATGCTCCAGACACAATTTCATTTATTACCAACCGGAGAAGGTGTCAAACTGGCAACAGAAGGTTATTATTATTATTATTATTATTATTATTACAATTATTCTTATAATTAGAGGGTGATTGTTAATAGAACTGGCTGTGCTAGAAGTGAAGGTTATAATGGGTAAGTAAGATAAAACAGGACATAATTATTTTAGATTAATATTTAATTATTATTTTCTAATCCTCTCCCCCCCAGTATAAGGTCGGAGTCAGACATGTTTAGTTTCCTAATGTCCCAATGGAGGCCTGATCCTCCTAAACCAGATCCAGAGGCAC